CAGCCACCGCCAGACTTTTTAGCGAATTTTAACACTTTTCTGAAGCTCATTGAGAGTGCGTATGTGATCAGATTGACATGTAATAAATACTACAAGAACCACAAACATCTTAGCTTTACAATGGTACCAAACACTTTATTCCAATCACAATCTATAACCTGTAACAATAAAATGAAAATGACTCACTTTCAGAGATTTACGCAATTTTGCTCAATAAAGCTGAGATAATTGCGATTTTGCTACGCTCGATGTAAACAAACACTGACACCTGAAAGAGACATCAACCAAAGCTACCCTACATGGTATCGCTAGGCTAGTGTAGGCCTAGCTAAAACAAAACATCACTATTTAAAGATTTATGACATTTTACAAATCATAAATTATACATCTAACATCATCTGATGACATACTTTCGCCAAAATCCGCATGGTTAGATTCTGGTCCTAGCCACAGGTTTACGCTAACCAGCGCTAACTCCGACGCGAATTCTCTTTTTTCTTCCATTTTGGATACTTTGAAATAGTGAAATACTTACGGTCCAGACCGAACATAAGGTTCAAATTGTTAGTACATGTCGATAATTATCCCATCTATCGAATTCTTTAAAAAAAAACTGAAACACGGAGATCTCGGTGTTTGGCGGTTAAGCGATGCGTTACCAAACACGGAAATCACCGTGTTTGGCGGGCAGAGTGTTAATGCTAAGACTAATAATTAATATTAAAACTAACGGTAATAAAAACAACAATAATAATTATAATAACAACAATGACACCAATAATAACAGCAATAATAATAATCGTGGCCGAGTTGACTTGTGGCCGAGTTGACCTGCTACCTTATAGCTGCCTACTAGTAGGCCTGGATATTAATATTAAACAAACGGATTGTGGATTGTAAACAAAAGTGTTCATCCATTGGCTGCTGTTCTGTTTGGTGTTTTACCTGGATAAATAAACGCGCTGGCTAGAGATACGGTACCGTACTATACTAGGCCTACTACTCTAGACTAGGCGTAGGCCTAGTCCAGCTAGAAGTGAATAGGTCTACCGACTTACTTGACACCTTCTATTCCAACATCATATTTAGGATCATAGCAAGGTTTTCTCTCATTATTAAAGTAAATACCGAATACTGCCGGTAGGTACAGAAGTACAACAGTGGTTCTCATAATCATACTAAAATCAAACACAAATTAGACAAGAAAAACGTTCGTCCTTCGCCAGGTCCACATTAAATTCGTATGAGACCTGAGTGTCTGTTGTTTCTCATCACATGACGAGTCACATGATGAGACCTGAGTGTCCGTTTCTCATCACATGACGAGTCACATGACCGACACCGGTTAAAAATGGTTTACTAATAGTTTGCTGTCTAGTCAAAACGGCAATGACCAAAACGGCAAAAAAAAAAAAAAAAAAAAACGACAAATGACCAAAACGGCAAAAAAAAACCAAAACGACAACACTTTTTGAAGAGAACGGCAATAAGTTATAACTGCAATAAACCAGGGAGTTGAAAACCAAATAAATAAATAAAACTTTAAAGTAGGCCTACACATAATGAGGCTACAATTTATGTCAAAGCAAAACGCGAGAAACATTAATAATAATAATAGGCCTACAAACATTCAAATAAATAAACCTTCAAAATACAAACATAATATTAAGGCCAACCATATGTTATAGCCTAAAATATAAAAGCAGTATAACATTCAAGTAAATAAAACTTTAAAATCAGACAAAATGAGGCCAAAACAATTTGTCATAAAAGTAAAAAACGTGAAATAAACAACAACAATAATAATAATAATAATAATAATAATAATAATAATAATAATAATAATAATAATAATAATAATAATAATAATAATAATAATAATAATAATAATATTAATAATATTGTTTGAAGGTTTGCATGGCGAAGTACCGGTATAATATATAATTAATGCTTGCGGTACACCACGTAGATTCTGAAAAGAACTGTTGTTGTTGGTTGAGAATATCTCGACGTTTCGGTTGACTTGCTTCAGCCGTCTTCAGGAGAATAATATCTGCAGAGATCTCAAACAGGGAAATACTTATATGTTTGAGTGATGAGACTTGCTGCTGATTGGTTGAAAACTAAACAAAGGCTGAGCCTACCAGTGAAAAGCTATACAAAAGCTAAAATTCACGGTCTGAATAGAAGGGCGGAGCCGCGTGGCTAGAAAGCCAAGACAGTGGCATTGTTCTAGCTGGGGGAAGGAAAGCCAAAAACAATGGCATAGTTTCCAGTGTAGAGGGAAAGATTTGGCGGGAAAAATTTGGTTTAGGTCCGGTTAAACATGGACAACCAAATATCGCTGATGACAAATCCAATATCTTGATGTACTGTATCGTGTTTGGCCGAGTTGACGTACTTGAGAGTTTATCATTTAAAAGATAAGCAGTTACATTTAATAATTTAAATTGTTCGGATGAAACATGTATTTTTTATGACGTTTATCCTCGTTTAAAACTTTATGAAGCAGGCTATTACAAATTTGTACCATATATTGTGTTTCTTTGTCTAGGACCTATGTTCCAGTCTAGTTTATATCGCTTTTGGTTGAGAATTGAATAAAATAAAATAAATTGTATAGTAGCACAGTGTTCTTTATGTGAAGTGCATATTATAAATGCTCGATGTGATCATTCGGGTCCAATGACACCTCCAATTTCAAGCAGGTTTCGGCCATGGGTCGATTCGGCCGGGTCGTTTCGGCCCTTTTTGGGCTAGAAGTGGTCGCGCCTTATTGTTTGTAAGCATTTCGATTGCAATTAACAGCCGCAGTATTATGGAGCGCCAAGTACGCACATGGTCTATTTGGGTTCTCTATTTTTATAGAGCTTTTTTTGTGCGTTTTATTATGATTTGTTTTGTCTTTTTTACGATCCTTGACTATACATAATACTTTTTTGTATTTTTCAGTATGATTATTATTTAAGTTTTACAATTGTTATTGTTTCAGAAATTTTAATTAGTTTGAGTATAATTTTACAGTATGTGGTTATTCAAAAACAATGTTCTTTTTTCTTGCAGTTCCCAGTAGTGAAAAGTCAAGAGTACAAGACAGTAGTTTTATATATATAACTTTTAATGATCCTTGAAAATAAAGGCTTTTGTGTTTTGTTGCGTTATTTTAATTGTTATATCAAATATATCTGAACTTCATATGTTTGCTTTCCTGGATAGTAGGCTTACATTTATCAACAAACAAATGAGACATTCTAAAAAAAAAAATCTTTTCAGAACTAGGCCTATCTAGGCTACGCTGTACCGTCATCCTTGAAAATAAAGGCTTTTGTGTTTTGTTGCGTTATTTTAATTGTTATATCAAATATATCTGAACTTCATATGTTTGCTTTCCTGGATAGTAACAAACAAATGAGACATTCTAAAAAAAAAATCTTTTCAGAACTAGGCCTATCTAGGCTACGCTGTACCGTCAGCATTACTTCAACATGAACCTTCAAACAATATTTCATTATTATCATCATTTTAGAATTTACAAAGACAACAGTACATCATCCTTAATCCAAATCGCAAATATGGATCCATCGAGGGCGGATCCAGATATCAAAATGGGGGGGGGGGGGGGGGGGAGTTCGAGCCTACATAGCGCCGGGGGCATCCTCAGCCCGTCACCCTTTAATTTAGGAAGTTTAAAATAGAGGAAAAGATTTATTGCCCATCTCGGATACACATCTAGGTGTGGATAAGAGACAGGGCGACCATCTGGCAACCCTGCTCGCCATGACGGAAGCTTATAGTGACCTTCCAGATGTCCAGATAATTATCTCGTCATGTCTACATCCTGTAGGAAAGAAGATAAAATGTTGCGATCCTGGATCTCCTCATGTACATTTTACAGAAGAGATGATCACATGACAAAATGCTAGATCTCTTTATGTCTAAATCTTTTAGAAGAAATGATCAGAGGACGAGATCCATGACGAGCGCGACCAAAATATGAGGGGGCGTGGAATTTATTTTCGGTGGCCACGCCCACTGAAAAATATTGCTTCTTAGATTCCCGAATACACGTTAACCATGATAGCATAAGCATAAGCCTAGCCTAATTTTTTTATAATGACATGACTTTATTATTGAGTGGTACGCCTATTTTTCTATGACAGTATTAAGGTCTGCATCAAAATTATTGGAAAAATTTGACTCAATTGTAATAATCACAAAGGGGAAACTTATTCTCTCGATCTAGGCCTAGATTCTGTACCATAACAGTGACGAAGTCTAGCCCTACGAAAAGTTTTGTGCATTCAAATTGTATGAATATTTTGATGGGATTGTAAAGCGTGGTATTATTTCGAACTTTTTGGACTAAACCTTGGGATGTAGGGATTATAAGTTCAGACGTTGTGATGATGGAGGAACTAGGCTAAGTTAATGACTGATATAGGCCTATGCCACTCAGATCAATCATGGAGTTATAATTATTTTTTAACTCCATGGATCAATGTCATCAGAAAAAAAAGCAGAATCCAAGCAAGGCCGAGCAGGCTTGCTTAGATTTTTCGCCAAGCGAAGAATTTAAGCAAGGCCTAGAAGCATGCCAAGAGTTTGGTGGAATCAGTCCTTGTTTGATAATGGTTATAAATAGGCCTAGCTAAATGAAACTCTTTACTAAATGGAACCATAAGCCTATTTATCGATAACAGTACTAAGTCAAACAATATTGTAATTTTTTATGTTCTATATAGTTTCCCAACTGTACATCATTCTCGTTTCACCGCTCATCGCAGGCAGAGTGAAATAATGCCAGTCTTGAAAAATGACGTCACGCACATTCTGGCACTTCATTGGGTGATGGTGACGTAATGCCATTTACCGTACCTTTAGCAAATTGAAGTAGAAATACGGTACCGTATCTCTAGCCACGGCGTTGAATTAAATAGTGCACTTGAATTGAAACGTTTCACTGAAGGTAGATTGTGGAAATTAAATACTACTGTAATCAGAAATTACACACTAGGCCATAGAGAAAGAAAATACTAGGCTAAGACTCTCCTGGAAACAACAAGTAGACCTAGGCCTAGGCCTAGGGGCCTCTCCTAGGCCAGTCGTCAAAAAATCATTGACCAGATCCAGGCCATTTCCCAGATGACCTTAGGATTAACTAGGCCTACCTAGGACCTGGGCCTTATCCGGGGCCTGGCCTCTGTAGGCCTACTCCAATGGGTATAAATCCTGTAATACTGTAACTAGTAGTAGTAAGGCGAGACCGAGTGTTACTTAAGTCAAGGTGCAAACCACACAAGTTCCCAAGTACTAGGCCTAGGCCGCTACCAACTTTCTGCTAGGCTAGGCTAACCCAGTGGAAGCAGGTCAACTCTGCCACAAGCCAACTCAGCCACAGTAAACTTGGCCACAAGTCAACTCTGCCACAAGCCAACTCTGCCACAAGCTGGCTTGGCCACAAGTAAGCTCAGCCACTAGTCATCTTGGCCACAAGTCATCAGGGTTATGAAATAAAATAATTTATTAAAATGAATTGTAATTATTGCTCAGTTTTTGCATCCTTTTTCTCTAATATGATTGAAGTAAATTACACACAGTTCAGTATCAAAGTTCCAACCCTCCTGAATTTACATGCTATCTCCTGGTCTCTCAAATTTGTTCAAGTTCTCCCGAATTTCAAAAACTATAGACTAGGCTTTAACTTTAACTGTTAATTAACAAATAGCTTCTGAATTTATTTTTGTAGGTAAGTCAGTGTGCTTTTTGTATCTTCCAAATTGATTAACTCTAATTCAATTTATGATTCTGATCATAGAAATATGGCAGCTTCTGATTCAGAGGTTGATACAAGTGAACGAAATCTTCGGCATCGTAAGCGTTCAGGCAGCAAACTGCGACGTGTTGGTTCTGCAACCGAAATAGACGATGCTGTCAGACAAGAGGAACAGGAAAGAAAGAAGCAGCCAGACATTCCGTGAGTGTATATTTTTTGTCGTGGAGCATCTGATTTTATAGACAGATTGAGGTATTGAAGAAATAATTCATTAGGAAAGCATTCAAATTCTTATTGTACTCAGTACCACTGGTGTTATAGCAAGTAGAGTAAAATAATTTCATATTGTGGACTTTTTGATTCACAGCCTTCATAAACCCCAAGACTCACTGCTGAGCAGTGGCAGTGGATTTGACAATTACCGTGGCTTCCTCAACTTATGCATCATTCTCTTGGTAAGCTGTACACAGCATTACAGTTGTTCATATCATTATTGTCATCATCATCATCAGAGTTTAAGCTGGCCAAAAATAATATTTTGCAATTTGGCTAATTTGGTATGAAAATAATTTGCCAAACAGAAATTTGATTAGACAAAACTAAAGAATATAAGCAATAATAACTTCAATTCCATTAACTTTTTGGCTAATTTTGAAAGAAAATATTTAGCAAAATTCAGCTTGTATTAAGGATTTGGCTATTTGGCTAATGACAGCTTAAACACTGCATCATCATTATTGTTGTTGGCACAACACCATTATCATTGCTGCCATCATCATGTATTTTATCATTTATCATAATTATCATCACAAATACCGCCATCATTATTATTGTAATAATCATCACCATGAAATATAAAATCAATGTTCTAACTAAAAAATTTGATTTGTTTGCAGGCAATGTCGAATACACGTCTGGTGTTGGAAAATCTTATCAAGTAAGTGGTATGGTTCAATAGAATGAATTTTAATGAAAGTTGATCCAATTATTGCTAATTTTGAATCCTGCAAAAACTGGGTGTACCAGATTTCAACCAACTAAACGATTATCCATGAATGATTCTATTCAAGTGAATGGGTTGATGATATGATAGTGCTCAGAATGCTGTAATTTACATTATTTTTATTTTTGGTTGTTTATGTAGGACCTTCCTGCAGGTACAAAATTCTCTGGTCCCTGGTCCCTGGTCATTGCATTCATGTTATGCTTATGTGTTGCCACAGTGTAATTAGCGCAGTAGCACTTAAAGAGCTGTCTCTTATACACATCTAGATGTGTATAAGAGACAAAACGGTTTCGTTACCGGTTGGTACATTTCTTACAAACATTCAGCCAAAGGCCAGTGAAAGTTGAGACGGCAGCCGTGTTTTTATCGATGTTTGCCATCCTTATGTGTGCCATCGTAAAGGAATTGCGTTTTAATTTAAATCTCCGAACTTCTGAAGCTGACAATTCCTGTGAATGTAGGCTTGTAATGCAGGCTACAATTTAAAAACGGGTGGGACTCATTCAAAAATTCGAGGGGGTTCGCTAGAAAACAGGGGGGTTCGCTAGAAAAGGGGGGTTCGCCCGAACCATAAAAACCCCCCCTGGCTACGGGCCTGTGGGTATACCAGATTTCAACCAACTAAACGATTATCCATGAATGATTCTATTCAAGTGAATGGGTTGATGATATGATAGTGCTCAGAATGCTGTAATTTACATTATTTTTATTTTTGGTTGTTTATGTAGGACCTTCCTGCAGGTACAAAATTCTCTGGTCCCTGGTCCCTGGTCATTGCATTCATGTTATGCTTATGTGTTGCCACAGTGTAATTAGCGCAGTAGCACTTAAAGAGAGAGCAGCTTAGCTCAGTTGGCTAATCTGGTGGTAACCACTGTAAGTGTGTTGAACCGTGGAGATCTCTAGGTTCCCGGTTTAATTCCCATTGCTGCCTCAACTTGTGTTCAGCTGAAGGACCGAAATAAAAGTTACAATAGTGCACCGTCTTTCAGATGAGGCATTTAAGCCGTTGGTCCTGTGTGCATTTATGGCCAATACAGTACACTCTTTGGAAAGAGTAGGGGATTGTCTTCCTGTGTACTGCCCAATTACCACCAGAAGGACCCCACTGGAAATAAGTCTTGTAAACTATCATGGGCTATCCTTGGTGTTTGCAACCAATAAATCCAATCCAGTCCAATCCACCCACCACTAATACCCATATGATGTAAATCAGAGAATCCCAAACAGCGTCTCTAGCGAGCAAATTAATCTCCACCGTGGCCCAGCAACTTGTTGATTTGACAATAGAAAATGATATGACACATATGATTACAGTACTTGATGTTATTTTCTCTTAAAAGATATGGCATTTTGGTGGATCCAATCTCTTGGATTTCAGTATTTTTAAAAAATCCATATAGCTGGCCTAATTTATCACTGATATGTGGTGAGTATCAACAGTCAATCTCAAATTAATCTGTTTACGGGCACAATTCTTTTTGCAGCAATTTAATTCAAAGACTTGTACATCTCAAGTAAAATTGAAGTACTACTACAACAATTTTTATTTCTAATGAAATGACTTGACTTGATTAACATAACCCCATGCTTTTGTATAAAAGTACTATAATAGAAGTTTCAGTATGGTATAGCTGATACAATTTTCTTTCGGAAGTGTGCCCTTCGTTTTTCATGATTTTTGGACGCCCTCATCTTTCTTTCTTCAAATCTGTGCAGCTGCAGACTGTATTTCGATGCTATCAGACTGATATTTATATAGTTCAAAATCTGTGTGGTATTACCGACCAACAGGCATTTTTCAATGTTACTTGACAAGGTTCAATTTCGTTTGCCTTACAAATCTATAAAACTATATGTAATAAGAAAAAAAAATATTTTGAAGTCAATCCTTGATGAGACATAAGGAAAAAATTATAATTTGTGATGATGCAGTCAAGTTTTAGTTGAAAATTTACCTGAGAAATATTCAAAATACTTTTCAAAAATCATTATCTCAACAGTACTTAATGGTTTTGTCTTCATTTCACTTGGCATTGAAAAATTGCTATCAAAAGTAAGTTGATTAATTAATTTTTATTAATTAATGTTTGATGAATCATTTGTAAAATATGTACCATAACTAAGGGTTTGAATTTCCCCACAGCAATTGCTGAAGAAAGGGCCCCCCACTGCTGTTGTAAATCCCAGGCTCGACAGCAATTTTTGCTGCCGAGTTACCTGATCCAGGCCTAGTAATGAATGTACTTTTATAGAATAGGCCTGTTCTTAAAACAATTTAAGAAGCTTGTTGCTGTAGAAGAATAAATTGCTGTCGTAAAGCCACAACCCACCTCAATAATTTGCTGATGGGGCATATTGAAGAAATTCGAACCCTGTAGATTAAAGTAAATGCTTGCGGTACACCAGGTAGATAGTTCTGAAAAGAACTGTTGTCCTTGTTGAGAATGTCTCGATGTTTTGAGTGAGCCTAACTTTCAAATCATATATGTACAGTATTTCCCTGCTTGGACTCTGCAGATATTATTCTTCTGATGATGGCCATTGAAGTAACTCAATCAAAACGTCGGGACATTCTCAACAAAAACAACAGATCTTTTCAGAACTGTCTATGTGATGTACCACTAGCATTTAATTTACTAATATTTTGCCTCGCAAGCCTTCAAAGTTCAAACAATGTGACTATTATTATCTGTATAAATTTATATATGGTGTCAAGATGTTTGATTGTCTTGTCTACTTAAAAAAAGAAAAAAAAAACGACTGTAGATGCTGAAAGACAATACAATACTTGGCATTATTTCACAACTTATCTAATTTTGTGGGTGATGTAGCTTCTAGAAAATATAAACCCAAATATATTTTTTTCATTTTATATATGTTTCTTGGCCTTGTCATGTACAAGTAATAACTAAAATTGAATATTGTAGTGTATGTAAGTTACACATCTTGTATTCGTACCTAAAAGTGTTATACTGTGCGCGAAAGAGAGGACAGTCCTGTTTGTAAATACGTCACTCCCCTGGTAACAATGGACTTCCCCATCGTTGTCATAAAGTGTGTCTGCTGCATTCGGCTGTATTAGGGAAGTGCACCCCACGCATGATATTAGGATGCATTCATTTCTAAAAATAGGAACTGTTGCCCTCTATGAAGGAATTGTTACTTCTGGAACACAGATAAACAAACTGCTAGGTACTACTTAACTCACCAAACTCCTCTCATATCTGTGTAGAAGGGAGTATCATTTGGTTACGCTTACAACAAGTGTAATGTGCTCTATTTTGATTCTGTATTCATTGATATTAGTTGCATGTGTGGAATATCAGATTTACAGTAAATCCCTGTCTAACATATAGAGTAAGGATTTAGTTTTAATTTCTTTACTTGATCTTACCTATATTCCAATAATAATAATAATTATTTAAAAATAGTATAATATGACATAATGCTGCCTACTGATTTTTGGGGGGGGGTGACTGAGCGAATTGTCATAAAAAATACATTCTTTGCAAACTACCTGTCACGTTGTATCCTTGATGGAATCATGATGGCCGATGACTGCTTGCACAATGTGTGCCCAGCTTAAGTCTCATTATTGGGCTCTGGAAGTGAGTTATCAGGTCTCATGACCTCTGCAGCTTGGAATTGGAAGGCATTCATCTTTATCATTTCTCAGAACATATTGTACTTTGAATTGATTAATACAATGCCTAATTTCAATACAAACTTTTATTTTGTGTATAACAGGATATAATTTCAGAACATCTCGGATTTATCCTAAAGACTCTAAACATTCTAACCATTGTGATATGTCCAGTTATTGTTATTACGATTTTTAGACCAAATCCAGGTGAGAACCACATATGTTGACATTTGACTTCTAAGATGACCTTCTGTATAATTAATTGTAGTTTTACTGTCCATCCTTCAATTCAATATAATCAGAGCTTTCATTGCAAGTAGTTCATAAATGCACTATGATGAATTTACAAAAAAAAAAAATAGGTTTTTAAACAATTTTTATTTTGTTATGTAAATTTGTAGAAGTCAAATCCACTGAGAAACTAAGTTTGCCTCTCTCAGTCACAGAATTGCCAGAAATAACACAACAATGTAATTTTAAAAATATCTTTAATGTTTTCGAAGAAATTTATAAGAATTACAAGTTACAATGTATTAGGTAATATGTTCCAGCTCAAAATTGAAATTATCATTTAAAATTTTCAATGTTTTGTAACCAGTGCAAGTGGTTTCTAAAGCAGGTACAGTAGCTGTAAATGATGCCCTCAGGATTAGCCTTGTCACAGCAATAGCTGAGTTAATATACATGTTACAATGTATTAGAAAATGTTCAAACTCAAAATTCAAATTATCACTTACAATTTTCAATATTTTGCAACCAGTGCAAATGGTTTCTTAAGCAGTTATGCTTAAGTGGCATCCTCACGAAAGCTTTGTCACAGAAACTAAGTTAATAAGCCCTTGTCTGCGTTCATTAGCTTGTCAATGATTACTAAATATTCTCTGTATAAAGAATAGTTAATGGTAATAATAATTAGATAAATAGTATAATATTGTAAATTTTGAAATACAAAAATCAATACAAAGTCAAGTAATTGTAATTAACATTGGTATGCTTCTCTTAGTTGGCTCATTCGCTGCACTTGGCATATATACCCAGGCATTCTTGAAGCTTATCTCATACCATATTGTCAACAAATGGTGCCGTGAAGCCAAACGCACCAAATGGCGTCGTAAGAGAGGAGCCAGTACACCTGCACCCCGATTAAAGAAAATGTTAAAAGAAAAAGACCTTGCTGAGAAAGAACAAAATGATGGTAGGTACCTGCTCATCAATATTATTTCAAGGAATCCTTCTCGACATAATGATTTTAATTAACATTGAAATGTTTTTTTTAAATGATTTTTATGAAAAACCTTAATCATCAATTCAATAAATAATATTGGCCAAGTGGTTCAAGCAGGGGAGTTGCAACTATAATATCAGCGGTGGTTCGAGTGGCATGCTCACCTATGATTCTGGTGGTGTAACTTGTCTTCTTGGATAAGGACTATAAAATAATAAATAAAAAAATAAATTATTAATAATACCAATACCATTCCTATATTTTAAGCAAAGACTTTAAATTTGGCTGGTACTGTAATTTCTATTGGGATTTCATATTGGAGATTTCACCTCAGGGGACTTAGGCCTAAAGTATTTAAAAGTTAACAATACATCCGACCAATGTACAATCAAACAATGGACGTTCGTTGCTTCGTATTAAAATTTGAAAGTGCAAGAAAAAGAGAAGATTAGGAAGGTTGTTATTAACATGCACGCCTGGTCTCTCATCTTCTGGATGATCATGTGGTCACTCAATATGCCTTTCGTCATCTTCTCTTCTTTACGATCACGTGGTTGCTGAACATGTCAGTCATCAAAGAGCAACCACGTCAATCAGTTTATTTGAGACACTTTGATAAATGTATGTATTAAAGTAGTAGTCATACAAAATTTAGGTTCTGGTGCATCAAAATTATATCGTTATATCTGTTGTTGCCAAAATACATATTTGCATTTTAATGAATGTTGCGCTCATCATCCAATACCAATCTCTCGCCACACACACACACTCTTGTCCGTTATCAAATCGCTTTGGTGCTGCCGAACTACACATTTGCAAAAGATGGTTTTTAATAGAACTCAATTGATGATTGCGTCATGCATACAAAACTAGTATTTTCACCATTTTTAATAAATGTGTTGTATCAAATTCGGTATTTTTATCTGAAGATATATCTAATTGGTTCTGAAAACCACATCTCGATGAGTATTTCAATGAATCTATCGCAACTTATCAATGTTAGTTTGGACAGACAAGAGTAACAAATGATATCCCAACAAATGTTGGCGACTTGGTTTCAGTTGGGGCCTTTTGGTGGTGCATTGGACAGTAAACCAAGGAGAATCCTCTACTCTTTTCTGAAGAGTGTACTGCATTCTTTAAACATGCACATTGGCTATAATGCACATGGGAAAATGGCTTTAAACATCTTATCCAAAGACTACACTTGTGTAACTTGGATTGGAACAGCACTACATTTGAATGAAGGACCATTGTTTTGTACTGATCTTCACAGTTCAGTGCTACCACTAATGCCTTATTATTGTGTTTAATTTATGTTTCTGGGGTAATAATTAGTTTTCATGAATTTATTGTTGTTACATTTTCTTTTAGTGAATGGTGACATTCCAAAAGTTGATTCAACAGTAGTCAAATATCCAGATAATATCAACTTAAAAGGTAAGTCTGTCTCATTCTTCAAACTCTTCATACTCTATATTCAAATACCGGTAACTGAAATTGCAAATGCTAAGTTCAACTTCTCTTTATTTCAGTATTTCAAGAGAATAATGAATTTATAACCAATTTATTTATCGACAGATGTGCTTTGTATTATCAATATAATGTGTAATTAAATCATGACTAAATGAATGCTTGTTTTAGATTTCTCTAACTCCCTTGAGTTATGTAGCTTAGTGGTTAAGGTGCTTGCCTTCTAATCCCAGGGTCTTTGGTTCAATTCCTGTAACAGCAGGACGCTTTCGCGTCGCTAAACAACTGCACTCCCTAAGCCTCATATAGAGACTTGGTTTATACAGCATTGTCCATTCTGTAATTGATGAGTTAATCATTGTTGGATGAGAATGGAAAAAAAATTGTAGAAAAAGTATGTGGTTTCTTTATTACCCTGTTGTAACAAGAAAAACAAGTTGAATTAATTATATTATTATAATTAAACAATATGAGGTATATGTAGCAGAAAATTTGTTGGTAAAGTTGAAGTGTAGAGAATGCTTTTCTTAAAAATCTATTTTTTTAAAATTCCAGAAAGGATTCAGTATATTGCCATCTTGATTTTCAGATATGTATTACTTCCTCTGTGCTCCCACCCTCTGTTATGAGCTGAATTTTCCCCGCTCAGCAAGAATCAGAAAGCGTTTTGTTATCAGAAGAATCATTGAAATTGTGAGTATGATCTATTTTAAAACAAATAAAAGGGTGAATCTCAGAAGTAGTATTCTGAACAACAGATTTGCTTTTCATCAGCTAACACGTTTTTGATAATGGAAAGTCAGGTTGTGCATAGGTATAAAAGAGCCACCGAGCGACTATGTTACAAACTTGATTTGACATCAAGGATTTAAAGGCCAATAAATAGGCCCATGCACAAAACTACAGTCACAGTGATATATACAGAAAATATATTTCAGAAACTGCATTTCCAAAAATTCACTCATGATTATCCATCAACATGCTCCATTTAAATGGTGACAAATCACAATTCATCATTTTTGGTTCAAATAACATTAAATCTAATATCAATATATCTTTAATATTAATTCATAACTCCATTATTTATTTTTCATCCATTGTTAAAAATCTTGATGAAAATCTCACCATGACTAACAATATCAGTCAAATAACCAAATCTGTCAAATTCCACCTCTGTAATATTGCACTTTGGCAACAGATCTTTCAGATTTTCGACCTCTACCATTACAGTGTAAGCAATCCTCTACAATATCTACTTTCAAAGTTAACATCAAAATATTATTTTTTAAGGAAACATTTCATTTTAATATTGTTTTATAATTTGCACCATATAAATTCTCAATTATTATTATTATTATTCTTGCTAATGTCAAAAATCATAAAAAATAATTTTGAAATAAACTTGCTCATATTGCAATACTATACAAATTATTAACTTGGCATAACATTTTTGAATTTAAAAATGTGTACCCTAATTTTTAAACCAAAAAATTATAATAAAAATAATAAAACACTTCAGTGACTGGAAGTGTTTCTATCATTTTTCGCTGTAAACTGATGGGTAGACATTTTTTAATACACTAATTTCTTTGTTCAAGTTTGTAACTTTTATGTTACTTCAAAATGGGCAAGTTAGGATGATTTTAACTGATATAATGCTGAACTAATTTCAAGAATGAATTTTATCTGTACAGGTGTTTTTGATCCAGTTAATGCTGGGATTGGTTCAGCAGTGGATTGTTCCAACTGTTATGAATGCTGTCAAACCATTTAATGTGAGTTAAAATGAAAACAGCCTAGAAAATATATTTGTGTTTTAAAAACATTCTTAATAGTTCGACAATCCGTCTATAAAATTGTTTTTTTGTTTTGTGTATTGTATGTATGGTACAATAGTAAAGACGTGTTCTAAATGTTTGTAACTCAAAAAAAGAGACTAAAAATTATTTAAATCAAGCTATCTTTGAATGTTCACATAAATATAAATGTAATATTTTATGTTTTTTTTAGGAGATGGATCTTAAAAGAATGGTTGAAAGGATTCTAAAACTTGCTGTAAGTTTTGATAACTATTCAGGTTAAACACTGGTTGGAATACTAAATAGCAATTCATACAAAGATTATTTTTTCTATAATCAGAAAATACAGATGTCTGCAAAATGTTGTAATTAATGGTTTGTTCAATTGAGAAGACAGTCCTGTTTGAGGAATAAGTTCAATTAGAGCAAATAGAAACCTGTATGAACAATTTTAGACCAAAATCAAATCTGTATGACCAACAGTTATGTAGATGTATGGATAATCTTTGGTAACTAGGGTGAAAGGTAAAATATGGTACTTTCAGCCATGACGAAAATATTTCATTAGAGCAAATAGAAACTGTATATTATGAACAATTTGAGAAAAAATGAAGTTTGTATGACCAACCGTTATAGAGGTATGGACAGTGAAAATAGCTAGGGTCAGAGGTCAAATATGTTACTCGTGTCATTTTTCAGAAAACAATATTTTATTAAGCTCTGTCCACACTATCAAATTTTGTGAAAAATTTGTTTGATGTGCCCATATATGGCAATGGTTATGTCATATTACACCCAAATATGGGCATATCACAGTAATTTGTGACATACAATTATTTAGTTTGGAGAAAGCTTTAGAGCAAATAGAAGCATATATATTAGCAACTCAAAACTTAAACCAAAACCAGTGGTTGAAAGATATTAACACATGTTTATATAGGTGCCCATTTTAAAATCCAATATGGGCACCTTTAATCTCTTGTGAAAATATGTAAACATTAGTTTTCATAATCAGTGCATTATTCTCTTTGCAATATAATATAATTTTCACTTCACAAACAATTAACAAAAGTACATTAGGAACTGGACTAAAATGTGATTTTCTTATTGTATACAATAGAAAATGGAAATTTAAAAAAAAAATGAAATTTAAGGATATGTAATTTTTTTATGATTTTCTTTTTTACAGATTCCAAATCACTTTATCTGGCTCCTGTTTTTCTACTGTTTCTTCCACTCGTTACTTAATTTGATTGGGGAACTGATTTGTTTTGCAGATAGAGAGTTCTACAGAGATTGGTGGTAAGTTGTTCACCATGTACTGAAATGGCAATACAACAGTACAGCATCATGTCATAATTTTCTATTGAAGCATTGATTACCTTGATTTGGTTTTGTAGATAGCAACTCTACATATGGTAACAGTTTCAACTGCAACATTTTTAAACTGATTACATGACCATGGTTCAATGGATTTTTGCTTTAGTACCATAGTGACTTCTAACCTTTATTATTGATTTGCAATAATTTCATTTGGCTCCAATAATGTAATTTATTTAGATTTTCTTTTTTGTTGATTCAAACAGAGAAAATATTATTTACTCACTATGTCTCGCGAATGATTCGTTTGCTTTCTCAAGTAGACTAGCAGTGTTACATCCACTTAGGTCAGACGTTCCAACATTTTTGTTTAGGTCAAAGTGCATCAATATGTCCTCTACGAAGGCTGAAAAGCAACACTTTTTTTTTATATAATTTACACCCCATGTAATTAGCTCCACCAAGTTTTAATTTTTACAAATTTTTAAAATCTTTTTTTTTAGATATTTTAAATGTAAAAAATGTTTTTGTGATGAAATTTGATTGAGTGGAGGTCAAAGATAAAAAAAAAATTTATTTTCCATTATTTGCAGCAGCTGGGTGTGGTAACAAACCGAACTAAATTTAGTTCTTATTTAAAATCTTCAATATTGACGAGTGTAGTGTAAAAATCAACCTTGTAGTAGAAAATATAACCAAAAAAATTATTATTGGCATACAGTATAAAACATTTAATTACAAAACCTCAAAAATGTGTATTTTATTAGCTGTTTTCAATTTTTCTTTAAAAATCTGACCCTACAATATCTTAGAAAATTTATTTGTACAACATATCAATTAATTTTTTTTCTTCGGATTCTGGATTTTAGTTCTAGGTTTTAAAATGTGCTAGTTTCAAGTGCAAGAAAATTATAACCCAAATGTAGATGACACCAAGGCCTACCATAGTTTAATATAGAGATATATCATTTAACACTGCCCTATGTCGGATTTTTTTTTATGCATATACAGTAGTGTATGAAATAATGTGTTTAAATGATCTCTATAAGTGTACCAAATTTCATTTCAATCCCTTCAGCGGTTTAAGGGCATTTTAAGGTAACAAAATTCAGGTCATTGTGCTTTATAGTATAGATTATTATTTCTATTATTATTTTTATTATTTTGTTTTTATTGTTAGTACTAGTAGTAAATAAAGTAATACATAAAACTGTATTAAAATTGTAACATATATTTTTCTTAGGAATTCTGAAACAGTTGACTATTTCTGGAAGAATTGGAACATACCTGTCCACAGGTGGGCCAAAAGGTACAAGTTTTTTTAAAATGATATTGTGGTTTTGGTTCTGATACATTACTACCTAAAACCCCAGGTAGGGTGGAGGCACTAAAGAGTGTTATGGTATTGTATATTGAAGTTATTGTTTTATGGTGGGAATATCAGGTAACAATAAAATAATAGTAATTGTTATTGTCGTGATGGAATAGACAATAACTGGATTTGCGTCAGGAGAAACATGTATAGGTATAATTTTGCCATACCTGACGTGGAAAAGTACTGAGTTGTTCTCGGGTGCGACAATAAAATAAGTACAATAATAAACAAACAAAAGGGATATAAGAAAAAATTGAAATACTATTCTTTTGTTGTCAATCGTATTTCAAAGCCTAAAATCCGAAGTGTTGGTGTGAGTTGACGATAATGTTGAAGTGAAAATGTAAAACTTTTGATTATAAAACTTGCAAAATGGAAAAATAAGATTGCACAAACCAGACACTATGCCATCTTCAAAAACAGAGACCAGAAATCATCTTAATTTGTTATTTGTCATTTTACTCCATAAATATTTTAGTGTATGTTCTTACTGTGGTGAGGGTGAAGAATTTAAAGGTTTTATAACCTGTTCTTACGTAGGGAAGTGTATAATTATTTAGTACACAAGCTTACGTCAGCAGTTTATGCTGGCTTCATCAGTTGCAGTGATGTCTTAATAAAAAATGAAAAACTTTATTGTATAGCATCTTGTATAGTGATTTGTCTTGTGGATTGCCATTTAAAAAGTGATTAATTTATATTGGCACATTGTTGGTGCTAGAAACTATACTAACAAAAAGAAATCATTTGTAGAGCACATTCATCATCTGGTGATCTTATTACAGGAGAGAGTCATTGGCATTTTGCAGAAGAGAGGCACCTATTCCAAATGGAGGCGATGGACATAGAGGTTTAACAGTATTGCCCCCAAGACGAAACTCAAATGCTGTACAGACTAGGAACCCCACCTGATAGAATAGGGAGGAACCAATTTGATACTTTACCCTGTACAGTATACCATAATGATACAACTTTCTAGTGTGATTAGCCTTAGTAAATGCTTTGCTAAAATCAAACAAAGTGTCTATATGCAGTGGCTCCCCATCAAGTGATTTGGAAATATATGGTGGTGGTGGTAATTGTGATAATACAGTTGAACTTGCTAAATTCGACTTTGCCTAACTTGAATAATTTCTAAGTCCATCTTAGTTTCCATGCCAAATTGTTATGTTTTCCATTAATTAACAATCTGTAAGACGAATTTTATCTAAGTCAAACAATTTTTCAATGGCATTTTGGATTCGACTTAGCTGTATTAATAAAAAAAATTGATAAGAATTGTTAAGTACATAGAGATGTTAAGTACATAAGATGTGCGCTATAAAAATACACCATATTGTGCAGTGTTTATATGCTTCTAAGCTTTTTGCCCATCATCAAGCAAAGTGATATTTTACTATAATTACGGCATTTGTAGTTTTTTTGTGACAAAACGTGTCTACAAGATGTATGAAAATGTAAGCCAACCACATTGAGATATATGTAGTACTTCCATGAAGCTCGAGTGATTTTGTAGATTCAATTGTGAGAATCATGGTAGACAGTAGTACTGATGTCAGCAAGCGAAGGCATACCCAAAACTGTCAATTTGGAGACCAAACATTGTTACATCTTCAAGCCTAGGCACATCATCTGCCCAGAGAGATGTGACTAAATTGCTTGCTAAAGTCCAGTATGCTTGCTATCACTAACTATCAATTGTAAAAGCGTTAACGCAAATGTGAAAACTGGGTGCTGCGGACAGAATTCCTGTCCATAATATCACAGCCCTTATTAGCTAATTTTTTTTAGTTAAGCAATAACTATGACTTGTTTCTTGTTTAATGTTAGTGTCTGCATATCTTATACTTGTTGCATTTATTTATTTTCTAATGTCTGCTAGCACTCTTAACTCTTTAACACATTGTTTAAATGTAATTTGTATGTGATCCATGAGTTTTGCCTGGTAGGTTTCTGCTTTGTGTTGATTACAAATATGCAAAAATGGTTCAACTTGGTATGGTACCTTTACTAAAAACATGGAGGAATTAGGTTCAGCAAGTTAATTTCTGCATCTTATAATTCTTCATTAATTTATATTTTAAACTCTGAGAATTCTTATAATCCTTATTTGTATTGTTTTTAAGAAAAATGTGATGTAATCCATGATTCTTCTGGTGGGTGTCTGCTTTGCATTTATGAACAAGAAAATATAATATGGGATACTGATTCCATTGTAGGTATGTTACCACCAGAAACCAAACAATAGAAAGAACTTGATTCATTTGAATTTGGCCATCGAAAGTTAAACCATGGTGGAAAATCATGAAGTACTGTAACTTATTGGTAAACTATCATAGACATTTCATTTTAAACAAATATATATTATCCATTAGATGACTTTTACATAATTGCTTTTTTTTCCTCTCAGACACATATATGCACCCATGAGGAGGAGAGGCTATTCTGCTATCCAGGCTGCCATTGCTGTCTTTTTGTTATCAGCTATCTTTCATGAGGTTAGTCTACATTCATGTTCATTTCATTCCAGTCAGATAGATAGGGGTCTCAAGTTGGAAGAAGCCACTTCTGGGAAAAATGGACTTTTCGTTTTCACGAACAGACAAACTTTCAGTTGGTTATTAAAAAGGTGCATGCGGAGTGTTTTCGCCCTTGACTACAACAGTTAAACGATAGCTAAAATACAGTTTGTGCAAGTTTGTGCCTTAACAACGGGAGCGTGTACCGTTTTCACAAAGAGACACAATCTTCACACACCAATTAACAGGTTAATTAAAGTTAAGAAAAGAAAAATAAATTGAACATTTGAATTGTTTAATTCTTTATCTTTAAGCATATGTAGAAAAAAAAAAGTTTAATTTTGTTATCTTGATAGTGAAATTTATGAATTTGTGAAGTAGTCCACTTCATACATGTTTTTCTCAAAACATTTTTTTTGGTCAAAATTGAAGTTTGTGTCTCTTCATGAAAATGGTGACGAATTGATAATACAGTAGTAAATATAATGAATTAATTGGTTTCCAAGAGATTTTTGCTTTCTTTTGGAAGTGCAAGAGGCCATCTTGATTTCTTGGATACCCTGTGACCAACAGGAGGCTTGGGACCACTGGATGGAGTTGTAGATTAAGAGCTTTAAATGCTCATTTTAATCCATTGTCCTGGATTCTAATCATGACTATCAAAACAACTTCACACCAAAAAGACTCATATTGACAGTTTATATTAATAATAATGATGATGACAATTATTGCAAGGGTAATTTAAGTAATTAATAATAATAATAATAATGATGATGATAATAATAATAACAATAATAAAAATAATGTGAAAAATAACAGGGGCTGATAAAGAAATTTTTAAACAAGGTAGCACCAATTTCATATAGGCCTAATTGTAATAATAATAATAGATGGAATTATATAGCGCAAATAAACAAGGTCTCTATGCGCTCAACTATATTTTAGTCAAGAAAACAAAGAAAAAAGCAAGAAAAAAAAACAATAAACACCAAGCTAGCACCCAAACCGAAGTATGGGGTTACACCTTCACTGCCAACCGAAGATCTGTGGTTATGTACTCTGGTTAGCATTGGTTAAGTCTTGATCTTTTCAGGGATCAGGTGCCTTCTAACCTGGACCAAACAACACTAGCTAGCGAGGTGAAACAGAGAATTTGAAAAAAATGAAGAAAAAAGTAGTTGTAAAGAGGCAAATAGAAAAGTTTTGAGTCACTTCTTAAAAGTGTCAGTTGATGCAGATTCACGAACTTCAACAGGTAGTGCATTTCACATTTTTGGAGCCACAACACGAAATGATCTCTTACCATATGTTTTCAAACGCCACCCAGGAACAAACAAAGTTGATGAACTTGTAGTTGATCTGAGTGCTCAGGAACAAGTGGATGAGCAAAGTCTGAGAAGATCTTGCATGTACTATAATTATACAAATAAGATTGGTAGACCTATAGTGCATTATAATGGTGATTATGTAAATTAAAATGACTCATTCATAATGATGTTGACATAAAATCAATGAATCCTTCAAGATAGTATCAGAAATTATATATACAGTATTATTATGTATATTTTGCTTGTTTACAGTACCTTGTGAGTGTTCCATTGCACATGTTCAGACTGTGGGCTTTTGCTGGCATGATGGCACAAGTAAGTTTATATCAATCAGTTTTGTCATTCAATCAATCACAGAAAAATACTATTTTGACAACCACAGCTTTAAAAGGTCATCTTACATTTTGGTTCTATTGCAATGCTATTATGTCTTCATTACAAGCCATATCCCATTGTGGCAATATTTTCCTCAGGTTCTAATTGTTGTCAACTGATGGAATCGTTTACAATAATAAAGTTGTGGTTTGACAATGGGGGCCGTGGGGGGGGGGAGACACTCGGAAGACTCTAAAATACTTAATTCAATTCAATTCAACTTTTGTACTTCATTTTTATTATCAGCACAATATAATTTATACTATTAAAAAAATTGTCAAACATGGCCATCACAGCAGCATAGCAAAAGCTAACAACAACTCTGATTACCATGGTAACACCAATGACATTAAGAACAACCAAATCATATTTTGTTTCATAGTATATTGTATTTAAATTATCAATTATTTCTTACCTGAGAATACGTAAAAGAAATTTAAAGCTTATAGATGCCGTGATCACAGCCGGCGGAACATTTTTCAAATTTGGGAGTAGGCGGGGGGGTCACCCCCAAATTCTGTGAATGGTAATATGAATCAGGGGATCTGGGTTCAAATTTTGGGGGTCAACATTTTCCAAAAAACCCCATTCCCCCCTCTTAAAAACGGTCAGGTAAATTTTCCTTTCCGAACTTATAATTTTCTTACTGTAACAACAACAAAAATTCAGCTCATGGGTCCTGCAAAGTAGGTCTAGAATTCTTTTTTTTTTTTAAATTTTGTTTTTGCCCAAGGGAGAAGGGGATCAGGACCCCTGACCCCTACCCCAGGTCTGCCAACATGAAAATTTATTGGTTGGGGATGGGATAAACACTCTCTGTCCCCTCCCTCTCCTTCTTACCTCTTTCTTTACTTGCATTTCTTTCCGATCTTCCCGAGTTCCGCCGGCCATGTTGATGGCATTTGAAGCAAGCAATGAAATTTGAAATTGAAATCTAAGTGATCTTACACAGGTTCCTTTTCAATATATTACATCACAATTCTTTCACGGAGCATATGGCAACTCAGCTGTGTGGATCTCTCTAATCATTGGTCAACCTGTGTGCGTATTGATGTACTTCCATGATTATTACGTGATCAACATGATTGCAACCACCAATGCTACTACATCAGCCATTTAAATACTTGGTTTGTACAATCTACTAACCATCCAGGTAGTTAGGTCTCATGATCAATAGGTAAATTTATAATAATGTCTGACAATAATAGAGTATGTTTTAATATTTGAGGCTTGCCATTCCAAAACCAGTGTACTATCATTAAACTGAGTAATTAGCATATAAATGTCTCATAATAATAGTACTGAGAAGCTGCTGATTTTACTCATGACTTAGGCAATAGTAAGTCGATCCTCATAAATGACCTATATTTTTAAAGCTTACAATGTGGAGAATATGATTATGTTAAAAAGCCAATTTTCTTAATATTTTGGTCACTGGTGCTGATCTTAGCATGGCAAGTCCCATTTGGTTAATTACCTCTTTCACAAGCTTATATAATAATTAATTGTGAGCCTGCTTTTTGATGCTTTATGCCCGTTGAAAACATAAATATCTTGAGCTTTTATGATGCATTTTTCCCTGCATTCTCATTTTGGGGGCCTCTTCTTTATTAATAACAATGTTGTCTACCCTACATTTACCATTGGCTATAAATGTCATATTGATATATTGGCCAAATTGATCATCAACCATTAGTAATAATACAGTATATATGCAAGTAACAGGAGTATACATTGTCCCTCCTAAAGGTAGGGTAAAGAATAACCCATAACTGGCAGCGTCATTGTGCTGAATTGCTTATGGACGTATAAATAGGCAACTTATACTAGCTTCATGTTCACATCATTCCACAATGACAGGGCCGGAAATGATCAGTTCAGAATGTGTGGATTACCAGTTAATAGCTGTATAATTTTAAAAAACCAACACCAAATATAATATAGTTGGTTTGGAAATTGGAAAAGTAAAAGAATTCATCCTGCAAGCAAGATATTTGAATGGGTATATGGGGTGGATGGTTTTATGTGTGGTCGCCCCGAAAAAGTGTCAATTTGAGCCTTATACTTAACAAATTTCTAAAACCCATAATTTGTGGTGTTGCAGGATTTGCAAGTGCAATTAAGATGTGTTGCCACTGAGGTCAGTTGGTGGTGATGGAATGAAATATACACTGAATTAGAGCTAATGGTGTTGTAGAGGTATTGGAGTGTGCCTTAGCTGGTGAGGTGCTATGGAGTCTATAAAGTACCTCTATACATAAAACGATATATTGAGCCTCCATGCTACTCAGCTGTGATGTTGAATTTGTTGTACTCATATGGAGCTAATATGATTTTTATATTTTTGAAGGTGATTGATATAATGATGATGAAAATGAGATATTGTTGAATGTATAAATTAAGTCATTTTTAAATGATACGACCAGTATTATACAGTAGATTCCAATATTTTACAGTAAATGGTAAATACTTGATGAATAATTCAACACAGAATATATTTTTAAAGATAAATAATTTGGTTTAAAAGATTTTCTGGTTGTGATACAAGGCAAATATTAAGAAGGGATAATATTATCAACTCTTATTCCTTGGTCTATGCAGTTTATCTGTTTGACTGGGGCCAATTCTAATGGAATATCACCAGTAAGCCAAATATATTGCATGTTTCTTGTCCAGGTTTTTAAAACCATATCAAACCATTTATTGTGCCAGTACAAGATAAAATATGAAGTTGCAATTAGCATTATGAAGTTGCAATTAGCATTAAGAATTTATAGATTTACTTTTACATATAGTTTTTATCTGGCAGTATTTAAGGTAATACTTTGTCAAATAGATCTACTTACAACATTTAAGTATTAAAAGCTGTAAAAGTATATATCACCAGTACATATATACACGATGGCGTGTATTTCAATACTTGGAGTATGTATTATACTTTCTTATCTGTAAAAGTACAGTATGTTGTTAGCCTAATCACCATTTTTAATATTGACTTTCAGCACAAAGAAAGTGTTAGTGGAAGATTATATTTTTCTATTATTAGTTTTTCATAATTGGGATAAGATTGCGATGTTTATATTTATTAAGATTTAGTCCATAGCACTTCCCCATTATTATTTGCATGCACCTTACCTTATTCCCTTAGAATATTCTGTTTAGCCTTTCATGAACCAGTTGCATGATTTGACCTGTTTGTACATGTGTTCAACATTGTATTACAAGGAAAAAATTGGGACCATGTCATCACACACCAGGGAATACATTTTTGAATGCTTTTTTCCATCAAACCTATTTATAAAAATTACAAAAAAAAGTGTTCTCAAAAAATATATACAATACCTGTATAGGGGTAGAATGTCCAACAGTTGGTCCGGGTCCCACCAATCACCAATCTTTTTTTTGCACGACTGGCATTTTCTACCTGCCAGCAGCATTACAACTGTATATTTTTTTTATGCTATCATTCTTTTTTTCACTCTCCCTCCCACGTACATGTTTTTGACACCTGCCTCTATGCTTCTGTAGCATCCCAATGTTTCTTTTTGTTTCTTTACTTATCCCCTCGGTCACTAAATACCACAAATTATGACTATAGCATATGATGCATTCCAATGCAGTGGGAATTGAACATGACTATACATTAGAATGAATTATTCTGTAGATGCTTGTGAAATTACATAGACAGCTGGGGATCTCAAAGTGAAGCATAGTAGTTCACACTAGCGTGGTTCTTATATCACTGTTCAACCTGCTTGTCTCTTTTAGTGCATTCCTTTGTATTTCTTTGAAATAGCTTGAATAACTAAACCCTGGATTGCAATCAATGTTGCACTCTGAATAATTGACCTTTTGTATAGTCCTGTTGGGAAACCCAATGGAAATCCACAACAGAATTGTAACAACAGTATTTCATTATTTCCTGTTGATATGCACATAATTGAATGTTGTTGAGTATTTGGGATCATGTGCACATTGATGAACACAGTGTGTTCTTAAAAAAAAAACAGTAGGGGATTGTTTCCCAGTGTGCTGTCAATTCACCACCAGACCCCACTGGAATGTCTTCGAATTTCATCGGTAGTTCTAGGTGTATATCACACTTAAGAAATCCAATCCATCATTTACTGTTATTATAATGTACTATTCAAAATTCATAAATTGGTTTAATCTTGAGTCAACGACACCGAACATAAATTGAGACAACCTGTTCCTGTCTTAAGTGGTTTCTTAATCCTTTTGTCTAATGGGTGTGATAAGAGGGTCTCTTTCTCTCGTTGTGTACTCTAGTAAACCCATCTTTTTCTATAGAATTACATTTAGGAATGCACTGCTGGATTTGTACATGAATTCACAGATAACGTGCACTAACCATGTCTGTCAAACTATGGTGAGATTGCACAGCAAACTCAAGACCAAAGAATTTTTATGTGAGTGAGTGTTGTGTAACAGCAGTGATAACATTACATTAGGTTTTAATTTTACAGATCAACAGCATTTACATTTAATTTTTAATTACTTTGGTTCTGAAGTTTGAAAATTAGATCTGCATGTATTTTGTGGATTGTTCATTTTTTTTGTCTCCACTCTCAATTAGATGCACACATTTATGAAGTATTACTATATTGGCTTGCTAATCTATAAAAAAAAAAGTTACAAAACTCAATGCAATGCATGTTTTGTATGTGTAAAAATACTTGTTGTTGATAATAAATGATTATTTTAATAAAAAGATGTATGAAAAATAATTTCAGAGTTTGTTATATTTGTTACCAAGCTGTTTAGTTGCTGTTTCCCTAGTCTTTGGTTTGTGGCAAGCAATATTATTAATCTAGAATTTTTTTAATTTTTTTTTTTTTAGTTTGTCAAACCAAGGTAAAGCACCTCATAGGAAACACTGAAATTTCTGAGGAATGCTGTCAATTTCAGAGCTGATAAAATGTATCCTAATTAATCAATAATACAGTCAAAATTAAAGAGCACCGCCCACATGAAACAATTTAGAACAAAATAGGAGAAACAGATTAGACACATAATATAACGTTTTAAGCAGTGGCACATAACACTATTTTTAGTGACACTCCCACCTTGCAAAATCTCCCAAGTTCTTATTCTCAACGTTTAGTACAGTATGTTATCATTTAAGTGTCCGTGGCATAAGGACTATGTGCTCTCATGCCGGAGGCCACATGGCCCCTTACCCTAGAGACCCCAAAGAGTCCCTACACATAGGGTCCTTGATCTACAGGCCCGTATCCAGCTTTTTGAATGGGGGGGTGCATTTTGCGAGCGCAGCGAGCAACCAGGCTTTGGGCCAGGGGGGCCGTCCAGGGGCCGAAGGCCCTGGAAAAATTTCTTACGTCCTAGTAGACTAATTTGAAGGCATTTTATCATGTTAATCTCTATGTCCGTGAACACAGCTTTAGGGCCTATCAAAAAATTACCAGTGGAGGACATGGAGAAACAAGCAAATTGTTTCCCAAATGAAAAATACTACTGTATAAATTTGTAACCATTACAAAAAAAATTCAAAATCAATTCTGCTTTTAAATAAATAATAGCAAAGGTTGATATAAAGAGTGGATTAAAAGTGACTGTAAATGAGCTGATTCAAACAACTAAAAACATTTGAAACAAATTAATCAACATTTCTATTCTTGGCATCGACAGAAAACATATACAGAGGTATAAGCATAATTATACTGTATGTATACGCTATCTATCCATTGAACCCTTGACGGGGTATACTGTATAAAAGGATCATCATGATACAAGTAACGTTGTACGTTTTAATAGCAACATCACTTATATTTTTTTATAAGAGCACATTTTATAAGAAGAATGAGGCTGTTGAAATTGCGGAAAAATTAAGAACAAAATAAGAATAAATTAAGGCAAAGTTAAAATGCCACAAGTGAGGTTTTTATTTTTTAGTAGTAGTAGAAAAACCAACAAACGTCAAGTATACTCGTCTCAGGGTATTTCTGAGAGCGCTAGGAATGATTATACTTGTCTAAACCGGGGTGTCATTCTAGCATTTTGACTTCATTGTTATACACTGACACAGGGGCGGATTTAGGGGCGGGGACGACCGGGCCCCTCTCCCCCTTTTGGGAGGTAAAAAAAAGGAAAAAAAGAAAAAAAGAGAGAGAAAAGAAAAAAATGATAGCCCAGAATGCCTCAAATGTTATGTTCGGGCATCTAGAACACAAAAATTTCGCGGGGGGCGCGGGGAAGAAAAAAAATTATATGTATTTTCTACATATTAGTAGACTCAAAATTCGATTAAATAAGCCTTTGAAACCCCTAAATTGTTTTTGGGGGCTTGGCCCCCCCCCCAGGACCACTTTCGGAACCGTTAATCGAATCTCGCCCACGCCCACATTGCTTTCGTCGGGGAAATCTGACACCTCGTCAGGTGCATCTTCCCCCCCCCCGTCGGGGACCTCGCACCCCCCCCGTCGGGCAAATCCTGGCGACACCCCTGAAGAATGGGGGAAAGGCAGGTCCCCTTAAATTTGTCAAAAAAAATTATTATTGAGATAAAATTGAAATTATATTCTAAGTGCCATTTCCTGCCGAAAGTTGCCATAATCATAAATTATCTTTCTTGACCAACTATGGTGGGGCTGAAGCGGTAGAGCCTCCATCTGTGAAAGTTGTGTGTGCCTCCACTATTTCCAATTTCTGGATCC